ACCTAAATATTTAGGTTGCAACCTAAATATTTAGGTTGCAACCTAAATATTTAGGTAGCTAGCTAAATATTTAAGTTTCAAGCTAATATTTAGTTCAAAACTAAATATTTAAAGTCACAAGTTAAATTTTTAGCTTAACTGTTTAATTTGTAAACTATGACATTTATAAATGTATGAATCACATGGTGAAAAACTGACTTTGAAAATAAACCTGTTGTTTTTTTCTTATAAAAGGCTAAATAAAACAAAAATATTGGTGGTAATTTTTTACTGTACCTTTACAAACGGCCCACACTCTGGGCCTTTGTGAGCTGCAGTGGCTGGATGACACCACAGGAGCACATACTGTCATCTCCAAACTAATGTTGAAAACTTYTTCTCTTGTTTTACAACCAACAGCATTAAGTCCACAAACCAAGTGACCAAAGAGTGAAAAAAACTTTATTTTACTTCAAATAAACCAACATGCTGTACTTCTGTCTTTTTGAATTCTTCAAACTTTGTGTTGTAATAAACAAAACATCTTGACAAGATGAGCTCTACATTTATTTCACTGTAAATCTGCACATGTGCTAACTGTAAGAATGATAGAACAAAAGCATAAAGTAGCATATTTAGAACAAACTGTCTGCAGATACAGGCAGCTTTAAAAACAAAGAGTAAAATATATCTGTTCATTACATTTACAAATGTTGTACTTTTTAACTAATTTTCCAGGATTGTTAGGTGACAGCCGGGATGTACTCACTGATGATTTCATTTCATCCTGAGTATTCTCACATCAATCTCCTGTGAAAAGAAGCAGAAAATTAATTGATTATTCAGAAATGAATGAGAGCTACACTCCCTGCTGACAGGATTAGAGCTCAGCTTCTTTTTCTTTGCTGTTCAAACATTAGTTTGTCAAAAGATCAGAGGATCATCATGAAGGTGTTTACATCTGGATCAGACACAACTTACTTTTAGAGTATTTTTATCATTTTAAATCAAAATGAGGGAAAACATACAACTTCAGATGTACGTGAATTTACTCAACCAAGTCCTGTCAACTGGTTTAAACCTAGTAGAGTAACTATGAAGCAATAAACATATTTTCTTTCAAGTAAAATATGTTTATTGTTCAGTTTACCTAACTTGGTTTAGTGGAACCAAGTTTGATTCTGTAAATTCAAGTTTATTTCTCAGAGATTACTTTTACTTTTATGTGTTTTTGTGAACAGTTTTATAACTTTCACTTAAGTACTTTTCTCATCAGTGAATTTTATTTTTACCAAAGTCATTTTCTGTTCAGGTATTTTTACTCTTTTTAAAAGTATTTTATATACAGTAC